AACTTATGGAATATTGCTAGAGGCATGCACAGCGAGGCAATGCAGATGGCAGAAAGAACATGTCAGCCGGGCCCTGGGGTCCAGTCCCAGATTTGGCCCTTGCGTAGCCTGACAAATCACTAAACCTCCCAGAGGCTTCATTCTCATCTATAAAATGGGCACAACGACACTTGCCTCACAGAAACGTGGAGGGGTAAAATGAGCTAATACATCCAAAATGTCTGCTGCAAAGTCCAGCCCGTGGTCAATCAATACCTGGTACCTATGAGTGAGTAGTATTCTGAATATCAGTGTTAAGTGCCAGTGTAGCACAGGCTTCTCACCGCTAAAAATCTGTAGTTGGCTTTTGACAGTGGTTGCAGAGGCTGTGTTCTGAGGCTAGAGGGTTTCGATGTCTTGGAATGGCAGGACTGACTTGCTTATTAACCTCTCCAACAGAAGCCTTCTGGTTATATTTAGTAATTCTCTGATCCATTAATTAATGAAGCCAATATTATTATAATTCTTTGATCTTCTAATTCATAGATCCACTATTGATATAACTGATTTTAAAAGTTGCAAAGGAATATTAAAGTATTTCATATTAAAGTACTTTAAAAGGGAAGCTGCCTAACTAGTTTGAACAGACAAGCAAAATTTCTTTTTTTTTTTTTTGTTGCCCAGGCTGGAGTGCAGTGGCCGGATCTCAGCTCACTGCAAGCCCCGCCTCCCGGGTTCACACCATTCTCCTGCCTCAGCCTCCCAAGTAGCTGGGAGTACAGGCGCCCGCCACCACGCCCGGCTAATTTTTTTTGTATTTTAGTAGAGACGGGGTTTCACCGTGTTAGCCAGAATGGTCTCGATCTCCTGACCTCGTGATCCGCCCGTCTCAGCCTCCCAAAGTGCTGGGATTACAGGCTTGAGCCACCGCGCCCGGCCCAGACAAGCAAAATTTCAAATGGGAAATATGAGCTATTCACTGGGTAATGCATAATAAAATAGACGATCCCAGATACACGGCACAACTATATTTTCATCTACATTTTACATGTTAAAAATCCCTGCGCTAACATGAAAATCAGCTGTGTGTGTATACAATGGATTGCTTGAACTCCAAACGACTCCCTGTCTTCTTGAAAACACATGTGAGCGAACCCCTGGCCTCCTAACATTTGCCATGAACCCTGCTGTTGACCTCAGATTCAATGGAAAGAAAGAAGTGATTTTTTAGAACACAAATTCCTTCTGCTTATTAAGAAATACATACCACAGAACATTTAGAAACTAACTAAAAGTATTTAAAAATTCATAATCCTATTACTCAGGAAAAAACCCATGAATTACTTTTGCTATACAGTACTTCATTCCAGTCTTCTTTGCATAAGTTTTGTCTATTTAGTTGAAACGATACAGTATATACAGTTTTATAGCCTGCATTTGACTCTGTAATGCATAAGCATTTTCCCTCTTGTACCAGTAACACAAACATTTTTAAAGACCACACAGCATTTAATCATATGGAGGCACCATCATCTTCTGGCCATGCCCCTACTGCTTGCTGCTCCCTTATTGTTTCCCATCCAATTTTTCTCCATTGTGCACAGTGTTGCAATGAATTCCCTTATTCATCCATCATTTGTCTGTATTTACACTCACAACAGCAGTATCTAAGGGGTCTGTTCACTATATTCTGCTACCAGAGTATTGCCCCACTCCAACCGCAACTCTGAAAAACTCTTAAAAAATATCAAAGGAAAAGGAGAAAACAGAGTCTGGGGAGCTCACAGCGACTGAGGAAATCCTAAGACCCAAGGCAGTCTTCTCAAGGGAAAGAAGACCTGGGTAACTGGGGCAAGCAGGCCAACCGCAGGGACAGGAGAACAAGTGACAGCTCCCTCTCTACAGAATACCTATCCACAGGCCCAGCACATTACAGTGGGCCACAATGTCTCCCCATTTCAGGGAGCCTTGACCTTAGTTGTTAGTGAATTATTTCCATGAACCTGCAGTTCTCATCATTATACTAATCAAGGCATATGAAGAATGATACAGTCAGTCAAAGCTTAGAGGTCATGATAACATTCTTCAGAGAAGTGGAGTATTATTGTGGAAAGGAATCAGAATGATTATCTAGGGCCCCACAGGTACTACTGAGGCCAGTGAGTGTTGACTGCAGCCTAAAAACTAGGCAGCGGCTGCGGCAGCAGGAAGACATGCATTCTTCCCGCACAGGCTTTGAGCAGGACCCCCAGAGAGTACTCGCCTGCTTCTTGGTGGCACAGCCATCCCCAGCACTGGGCAGACAGCAGAAGCTGTACACCCAAACCTCAACATACTGAGTCAGCCCTGAGCATTAAAAAACTAACCCTGGGGGAGAAAATCACTTGATATTTAAAAATAAGAATGCAGGTCAGATGCAGTGGCTCACACCTGTAATCTCAGCACTTTGGGAAGCCAAGGCAGGCGGATCACCTAAGGTCAAGAGTTCAAGACCAGCCTGGCCAACATGGTGAAACCCTGTGTCTACTAAAAATACAAAAATATTAGCTGAGTGCTGTGGCGTGTGCCTGTAGTCCCAGCTACTCGGGAAGCTGAGGCTGGAGAATCGCTTGAACTCAGGAGGCGGAGGTTGCAGAGAACCAATATCACAACACTGCACTCCAGCTTGGGCAACAGAGCAAGAACCTGTCTCAGAAATAAAAATAAGAATGTCAAGTGTCCAGGCTACTTCAAGTCTACATGAGGATGGCAGGTCAAAATATTATGAAGTGATAATTGTGTGGCCACTTAAAACCAAAGGGGATTTGCCTAAAATCCATCTCGCCTAAAAGATGCCCCACTCCAACCACGACCACAGAGAGCCAGCTCTAAAGACAGACAGAGGTATGGGCACCAGTTCCCAAGTGCCCACATGGCAGCTCCCTCAAAGATGAGCACAGCCAGGGCAGCTGCTGCAGGCACACCCCTCCCATGGGCACATCCCTCCCACGGGCACGCCCCTCCTGCCCCTGTTTCCACTGTCCTCTAATTAGCTGCACAGAAAGTAGGGAGCCCAAGGTCCCTCCATTCAGGGATGCAGCCCACTCACCTGCTTTCTTGTGAATCGTTTTTTCCACTTCTTGGTGTGACCTTCTGGCAACTAGGCTTTGATTTACTTTCAGTTAGGAAAAGAATGTTTATAAAGAAATATCAGACGACTACGAAAAAATTTATTTTTCTGTGCAGTTATGAAATTCAAACGTCATTCTTAATCAAGAAAACAAAACTCTTGGGCACGCCCTGTTATTTTCTTCCCGTAGTTTTCTAAAAATAAGGAAGTTTCAGAAGTCTGAAGTTTTATATAAAGCAGCACCTTCAAATGTACCCTTTCAGACACAGCAGTCATCAGATTTATTTGTGGAAAGCTGGGTAGGTCAAGAATACTTAAAATAATGCGGTTTATATTTAAAATACCTGAATCACTTTGTAACTCAGGAGGAAAAAAGATTACTTAAAATGATTATTCAAAATGCAGACATCAGCCCAACAGGTGTAGCCATCTCACACGGAGCTGGTGATAACTACCTGGGACGACAAAGAAACTGATTTCTTTCCACAGATGTGTGGAAATGCAGCCAAGTACTTGAGAAAAAAACTCAAAGATGCAACCTTAGACAGTCCTCCCTCCTGACTCCAAGGAAAATACACATTAACTGTGAAATAATTTGTTAAATTGAAATAACAATGACAGGTAGTCCTTTTGTTGTTTTTGTTTTGAGATGGGGTCTTGCTCTGTCACCCAGCTGGAGTGCAGTGGTGCTCTCTGCAGCCTTGGCCTCCTGGGCTCAAGCAACCTCCTACCTCAGCCTCCTGAGTAGCTGGGACCACAGGCACTTGCCACCACACCCAGCTAATTTTTAAACCTTTTGTAGGGATGTGGTCTCACTATGTTGCCTAGATGGGTCTTGAACTCCTGGGCTCAAGTGATCCGACCGCCTCAGCCTTCCAAAGTGCTGGGATTACAGGCGTGTGCCACTGTGTCTAGCCAATGAAAGGTATTTTTAAAGGAACATCTAAATGTTGTAATCTCAAAAAACGTTTTTGCCAAAGGCATCTCACAGCCAAGACGAATTCTCTTTTCTACAGTTAGTCACGAGGAAGAGTGATTCTGGCTAAAGATGAACCATGTGCGAGTTCACGCAGACATGAGGGCGCCAGCTAGCAGGACAGAAATTGTCATGAGGCGTTTTAGTTCCAAAATTGTCTAATTGTCTAATTTCATTATCTTCTAAGAAGATAATGACAAAATTATTTAACACAAATATTGCTTCTTAATATCTCATTGCCAAGAGCCACGGGGACATGAAATGATGACTTAAATTTGCGAGAAATCTACTAGGGACAGAGCTCTGTAGCAGGTGATGTCCTTGCGGACAGCAGAGGGGATTCAAAAGGAACAGAGGGCTTTGCGTGGGAGTGGCTTGCTCTGCAGCTAAAAGAGGGGAAAAGCTAGTGGTAACACAGGATTCTGAGTTTCTGAAAGGAAGGCCCGCCACCTCTGCACCCCCAGTGCTTGGCTCAGAGCTTTGAATGTGGCATATGATCGAGTGCTGCTGTGCTGAACTGAATTATAGTATATGTTAAGTACATATAAAGAAATAAGAGTTTTCAAAAACAAGCTAGGTAGAACAACCTCCAAAAGTGGCCCAAAGGACCGTAGTTCTTTCTGCAAGCTCTCTCCATCCCAGAGAATCTTGATAAAAAACTGTTCTCAGTGGTTCATTTGGACTGTTCCTTGCTTGACTCAACAAGCATTTAATGATCACCTACAAATGTACATCACTGGGCTATACAATTCACCAACATCAAGCCCCAAAATACTATCATACTTCATGTGATTATGTTGACAGTGCTAAGATTGTTTTCTTGTTATTCTAAGTTTTGATTCTCTGTCAATATTAAAGAGCACAATGTGTTTGCTAGAGCAAGATTCTACCTTGAGACCAATTCTACTAAAGTTCCTGTGTCACTCAAATGCCCACCTTTGGTAGGTCCTTTCCTGTTAAGCACGGCCTGCTGTTCCTCAGTAATGTTCAGCCGCCGAACCACATCAGCTAGAGCTGATTTGAGCAGCTGGATGTCGTCTTCTTGCATCTGGACTCTCTGCTCCAGTGAAGCAATGCGGTCCGTCACCTCCATGCTACTTGCAGCAGAAGCACTGTCATCTAAACCAAAGAAAGGATCAAGTGAGTTTCAAGTGTTCCCCGGAAATCAGATCGATAAACATACTCTATCTAGCACATTGTTTTAAGCCCATTCTTTTAACATAATAACACTTACGGACTAAAGATACTGCTCTTACGCAGAAATCATGTGAAATCTTTAGCTGTGTGTAACTACAGCTCTTCATTCTACAATGGTCTTTTCATTCTCTACATTCGCGCTCTTCATTTTAAAGTGTGGTTTTAATTGTCATTATACTTTTCTACATGCAGGCCAACTTGCTTTCAGCAATACTGCAGAACCTTAGCAGTGGGAAGTCTACTTCAACTTCCCACATATGGGAGAAACCCAGTCTGCATGGTCTTCTAGCTTCTGCTCCAACTATGTTAACTGACAGGTAGGTCATACAATCACAAGGCCACCCTATCCATTGGTCAAGACTCTGAAGGATAAAGCAATATGAGTTTGGCAAGCGACCCTTACAATTATGGTAATCATATTTTCTGGCATAGAATCATAATTCCCAACTCCTTATCAGGGTCTGTAAAGCTCTCCATGATCTTCTTGCCTCTCCAATCTCATTTGACATCATTCTTCCCTTCACTTACTGTGCTCTCCAACCAGAGAACCCAGGGAGCACTTTGGGAGGCTGAGGTGGGCAAGCTGCTTGAGCTCAAGAGTTTGATATCAGTCTAGGCAACATGACAAAACTCTGCCTCTTCAAAATACAAAAAAAAAAAAAAAAAAAAAAAAATTAGCCAGGTGTGGTGGTTATGTACCTGTAGTACCAGCTACTCAGGAGGCTGAGGTGGGACAGTTTCTTGGGGCCCAAGAGGTCAAGGCTGCAGTGAGCTGAGATTGCGCCACTGCACTCCAGCCTGGGTGACACAGCAAGACCCTGGGTGACAGGGTTGCCCAGGCCGGAGTGCAGTGGCGCAAAAACAAAACAAATGGCCAAAATAGCGCAAATTTAATGAACCGAAATATACAATTACAGGCCAGGTGCAGTGGCTCATGTCTATAATTCCAACACTTTGGGAGACCAAGGCAAATGGATCACCTGAGGTCAGGTGTTCAAGACCAGTCTGGCCAACATGGTGAAACCCCATCTCTACTAAAAATTCAAAAATTGGCTGGGCATGGTGTTGCGCGCCTATAGTACCAGCTACTTGGGAGGCTCAGGTGGGAGTCTCATCACTTGAACTAATGCGCCAAGACTGCACCACTGCACTCCAGCCTGGGCAACAGAGCAAGACTCTGTCTCAAAAAAAAAAAAATATATATATATATATATGTACACACACACACACATACACACACACAATTACAAAATACTAATCAAAGACGAAGCAAAATAAATGCAAAACAGCCCACCTCAAGGCACATTATAGTCAAACTGTTGAAAACCAAAGATAAAGAACAAACACCAAAAGCAGCAAGAGAAAAATGACATATTAAATACAAGAGAACTGCAGTCTGATTAACAGCTGACTTATCATAAACTACGGAGACCAGAAGAGAGCGGAACTACATCTTTAAAGTACGGGGTGAGAAAAAACTAAATCCAGAATTTTACATCCAGCAAAATATCTTCCAAGAAAGCAAGTAAAATAAAGACATTTTCAGAGGAACAAAACCAGAAAGAATTAATCACCAAAAGACCTGCACTGCAAGAAATGCTAATAAAAGTTCTTTAGGCTAAAGAGAAATTGTATAAGATACAAACTCAGACCCTAAGAAAAAAATGAAGAGCACTGGAAATGATAAATACCTGAATCAGTTCAAAGACTCATTTTTTTCCTTTTTCCATTTTCCTTTTATGTTATCATGAAACCTTAAAATTTTTTTTTTTTTTTTTTGACAGGGTCTTACTCCATTGCCCAGGCTTGAGTACAGTGGTGTGATCACAGTCACTGCAGCCTCCATCTCCTAGGCTCAGGTGATCCTCCCACCTCAGCCTTTTGAGGATCTGGGACTACAGGCGCACCCCACCATAACTGGCTAATTTTAAAATTTTTTATAGAGTCAGGGTCTCACTGTGTTGCCCAGGCTGGTCTTGAACCCCCGGTCTCAAGTGATCCTGCTTCGTCCCCCCAAAGTGCTGGGATTACAGGTGTTAGCCACTGCACCCAGCCTTGAACCTTCAAACTTCTAAAGACAGAAATTAAAATATTGTCTTATAGGGTTTATAATGTATTTTTATGTAATACATATGAGTACCATAACATAAAAGATGGGGTAAATATGGATCTACAAGTTGCAAGATTTCAATATTTTATATGAAGTATACAACATTATATGTGGTTTTTACTGATTTCAATTGACAAAAATTGTATATATTGTATATAACATGTTTTAAAATACACACATACATTGTGGAATGGCTAAATTGAGCTAACACATGTACTACCTCACATACTTATTTTTGTGGTGAGAACACTTAAAATCTACTCTCTTAGCAGTTCTCAAGAATATATACATGTTATTAACTATAGTCATAATGTTGTACAATAGATCTCATGTAAGTAGTTATTATTAACTGTAAGGGGTTAGTATTAACCGTAGTGGAAAAGTCACAGATGTTTATTACAATCCCTCATAAATGACTAAAGAATAATGCAAACGAGTGTAGCTAAAAAGCAACAGAAAATTTAAAATGAAATTCTATATTCAAATAATTCAAAAGAAGGAAGGAAAAGAGTAACAGAGGTACAAAAAAGAAAGACAAGTAAAAAATAAAATGCTAAACCCAAACCTAGTATAGCAATAATTATATTACATGTTACATTAAACCAGTAATTTCATTAAACGTACCAATTAAAAGGCAGAAGTCAGAATACATTTTTTTTTAAAAAAGCAAAACCCAACTATATGCTGTCTACAAGAGATACACTTTATTTTACTTTTTAAAAATCTTTTTAAATTTATTATTGTTATACTTTACATTCTAGGGTACATGTGCACAATGTGCAGGTTTGCTACATATGTATACATGTGCCATGTTCGTGTGCTGCACCCATCAACTTGTCATTTACACTAGGTATATCTCCCAATTCCATCCCTCCCCCCTCCTCCCACCCCATGACAGGTCCCAGTGTGCGATGCTCCCCACCCTGTGTCCAAGTGTTCTCATTGCTCAGTTCCCACCTATGAGTAAGAACATGCAGTGTTTGATTTTCTGTCCTTGCAATGGTTTGCTCAGAATGATGGTTTCCAGCTTCATCCATGTCCCCACAAAGGACAGGAACTCATCCTTTTTTATGGCTGCATAGTATTCCATGGTGTGTATTTGCCACATTTTCTTAATCCAGTCTATCACTGATGGACATCTGGGGTGGTTCAAAGTCTTTGCTATTGTGAATAGTGCCACAATAAACATACGTGTGCATGTGTCTTTAATAGCAGCATGATTTATAATCCTTTGGGTATATACCCAGTAATGGGATGGCTGGGTCAAATGGTATTTCTAGTTCTAGATCCTTGAGGAATTGCCACACT